ATGTTTAACTTGTCTTTATTATTATTGCATCAGGGCATTATATGGATTTTGTTAAAGTGAAGTCGGTGTGCTTAGTTTTGAGTTACCCCAGAATCAGACACAGACCAAGGATCTCGGCAGGTAACTTATTTGGAAAGTGACCCAGGAAATACAGTACGGGGAATAGGGGAGTGGAGGTGGGATAAGAGGAAGAGCCATTAAAAGGTGTATTATCAAACAACTAAGCACTATGGGCAGCTGGAGCTTAATCCCACAGGGAGATGACAGACAAGGGAGTGGAGGTATTTAGACACCCTTGTTGCCAGCCACTGGTTGAGGGCTGTTCCCAAACAGCATTACCTCTGGCCTGTCCAGCCTGCTCCATACATATTTTCAGAGAGCAAGTGCAGGTACTGGCAGTTAGCAATTGATGCAGAGTGCACCAAAATGAAAAGGATCAATGACAACATTTGTTATAGGATAAAAAAGAATCAATTAGGATTTTTCTTTAAAATTGGTAAAGACTGGAGTATTGAATCTGATTGGGTTGAGAACCAGAATCTGGAATCTAGATGGATTGTGTCATAAAGGAGATTGAGCAGAAAAAAGATTATTATGTTGTCTATAAACTCTAAGGCAGGGTGAAGAGCAACACAGAAAGCTGTTGTGGAATATTAGACAACTTTCCCATACATGTTCTTTTCCAGTCATACTGAAGAACCCATTGAGCTTCAGCCCCATTGAGACAGGTTAAACCAGGCCCTTTCCTGTTCTGCTTTTTTAGCTTTATTGAGTCATTTAGCCCAACAGTTGTGTATATGACTTTGCTTCTCCCTGGAGGGGAGCACTTCCAGGGTAGAAAAGTGAACAGGAAAATGGAGTAAGTGCCAGATACAGAAGTCAGAGCAGACAGATGGGGTGACACCAGACAACCTCTTAATCTGACACACTAGTGCATCTTCCAAGTCACATGTCCTTGGTGAGGCAGTGCAGATTAAACTATTGTTTGCACATGGTAAGGTGGACCATAGTTCTTCTATACTCAATGCCCAAATGATAATGAGCTGCATGAGTCCTACCCACCCTGCTGGCAGGGCCACTAGAGACTGCAGATTCCTGAGATGAAGTTATGGTGAGGAAGCTTCACAGATAAATTGTATTTTGTAACTAAGTAGTGGTTTCTCTATGTGAATTTTGGTTATTAAAATAGTGTCTAGTAAGGCTACAGCCAAACTTCCAATACCTGAATAACGAATTCATATATTCTAAAAGGCTCATTTTGACTAAAGGTATTTTACCCATACAAGAGTAAATGGCAATTTTCTTCTCTGTAACTGGAATGAATTCTTAAAAAAAACTGTTCTGTGTAGTCATCTTCAGATTTCTGTGACAAATTTAGTGTACACTGAATTTTGTCATCACCCACTCCCCCATTCATCAAGTGAAGCCCTACTCAATGTGATTTGGAGACAGGGCCTTGGGAGATAATTAGGTTCTGATAGCAGACTTTTTAATGACGGTAGAAACGCTCTTACAAGAGAGCTTGTTCTTTCTTCTTCTATATGAGTTCACAGTGGCAGCCATCTACAAGCAAGGAAGTGAGCCCTCACTGGAACCTGACCATGCTGGCATTCTGATCTTAAAACAAACCTCCAGACTGTGAAAGATATTTCTGCTGTTTAAGCCACCCAGTCTATGGTATTTTGTTATAGCAACCCAAGCTTAAGAAAAATTCATGTAAATTCTAGAAATGGCCTTCTCTCATCTCAATTCTCCTATCCATTACTTGCTGGTTGTCCATCTCCCATGTGTGTAAGGTCTGTAGAGGGGTTGGGGAGCATTGTCCATGCTGTAGCCTCATCTCCAGCAGTGCTTGGGCCACAGCAAGCACTTGGTATTTTCAGTTGTTGTTGGGAAATGATTAGAAAAATGAGGAAGACAAGATATAGAGGTGGAAGGCTGATCCTTTCCCCTGAAGAGCTAGAGAGCAACTGGGACCTCAATCTGAAAGTGGGAGGCAGCCGAATTTCCACAGGCCTGCGTCTCCCTCTTCTCCCTGGTCTGGATATACTGACCTTAACCTCTTTCCCTGCCAGACTTAAATCAGGAGCTGATGGGATCTTAGAGATAATTAACACAGCACTTACATTTTCCAGATAAGAAATCCCACATTCAGAGGCACTCAGTAGTGTTAATGAGAAGGAAAATCACAAGTTTGCTCGTTTATCCCAAAAGGTACCAGTACCTGACCAAAAAAACCCATGATGTCTCTTTACCTTTTGTCTCATGACTTCTTCACCAACATTGCCAGCTAAGACTTGTTTCTGCTGTCTTGAGGATGTATATTTGTGTTTGAGACTGCAAGTAAGTAAATATCCACCCATATGCAGTTTGGGGCTGATTAAGTAATGCAGGAAGGATGGCCAGTTCTTGTCAATGACTTAGAAGCTGATTAGTATTACTGACTCCTAAGGCATTGGTCCTAAACGTTACTTTAATGTTAGTCACTATTTCCACTAGCTTTTAAAAATGTACTGCTTCAAGAAACTAAAGCAGATACCTTAAAGCAACTGAGGCCAACAGAAGAAGGGAACCAGGAACTAGAGAAAAGTTTAGATCAAGAAGAATTAACCTAGAAGGTAACACATATGCACAGGAAATCAATGTGTGTCAACTCCCTGTATAGCTATCCTTATCTCAACTATCCAAAAACTCTTGGTCCTTCCTATTATTGCTTATACTCTCTCTTCAACAAAATTTAGAGATAAGGGCAAAATAGTTTCTGCTTGGTATCGAGGGGTGGGGGGGAGAGGAAGGGGGTGGGGGTAAGAGAGGGGGTGTAGGAAGGAGGGAGAAATGATCCAAACATTGTAATGCACATATGAAATAAAAAATAAATAAATAAAATAAAAATGTACTGCTTCAATCTCCTACTCTTATGATGCTTGTTTTTCAATGCTTTTAAATAGAAAAACCCTTGAAACAGCACTTGAAAACTTAATGAGAAATGGTCTGTACAAAAATGGCTGCTTTCCTCTGAATTAAACGCTGGTAATTAGGACTAAGATAGTTTTACTCAAACTACTCCATGACAACTCATTATTCATATACTTAAGAAATGTCTTCTCAAAGAGGAACTGCTTTCAAATTAATACAATCCTCTAATAATTTGCGTTGCTAAGAAAACTCAACCATTTTAATTAGTTACCTAGAATTCTATCGTTAGTTATTAAAAACAGAAGCTCTAGACAGTTTTAGGAGGTATCTTCTGGTAACTGAAAATTTTTTGGCAGTCTCTTACCTGTAAGACTGTAGACATGCAATGTTGCTCTTGTCCAGACAAACACTTGAGTAGGAAATACTAACGGGCTATTAGCTGCCAAAGTCACCTTACTGCTCTAGATAAAATCTCTGCACATCCTCTTTGATTTAATCCATGATCTAACCTAGCCCAACTACTAATTACTTATAAGCCTCCTCTGTCACAAATCTTAAGTATTCCTTTGCACTAAAACATCTAGTTTAAATCATTTTCAACCTTCATCTTACATTGTATTCTCTCACACAGTGCCAGCACACTTAGCACTAAAAAACATCAATGATTTTGTTATTTTCAGGATAACAGACCTCTTCACGACAGAAGATAGCATTTTTACTTTATTGAAAAGGAAAGCTTACCCTGGAGTTCACCAACCTCTGAGCCTTTATTTTCTCATGGTCTGATGAGAAAACAATGGGGCTCTTCTGCCAAGAATAATTAGGGCCATCCAAAACAACTCATTCTGGTCCATCCCATCAAGATTCTGTTCTGAACTTAATAACCCATTCTCAACCTCAGATTGGAGGTACAGGAGAGAGACCATCAATATCTATGGGAGGATTGGCTCGCAGATCCTCACAGAAAGAACAGAGAAAGGGTACTAATGACGGCAAGGTAAAGAGATTGACATCTGCCTCCCAGGGCTGCCATGAGCACTCACCTGTGTGTGAAAGATGTTCACAAACTGCTGTGTGAGTGCTAGGTGTTTCTCCTTACAGACAACAGCCTGAAGACTGAGGGTTTCCCCTCAAGAGAACTGAAAATTTAACATCTTAATATGCTATCTGATTAGTATAAATATATTATGAAGAAACTAAAGTTTAATTCAAGATTCCAACAAAAGGTTGAATTGTGACATATTTTTCTAGAATGAGATGGCCTTCCATCATTTGAGAATTTCTCTGTGGGTAGATGTGTCCCTCAAGAGGACAAAGTTTGTCCATTTCCATATATTCTCTTTTTCTCTCTCTTGGGGAGCAAGATGTTCAATAAATTTGTCTTTACTAGTCAAATATGGTTTGTGTTTTGTTCAGAAAGTCAAATGATCCCTAACAGAAATGTAAGTGTTTAAACATAGCTCTTTGAGTTGGTTTCCTTTCCTACAAGGGGCAGCCATATTCCAGTTAGAAGGCACCAGCAAGATGAGGCCTCCTTGACAAAAACATTACAACTGGGAGATGATTAACTAATGCCTCGTGTTTCTAACCAGAATTTAAATACTCTTTCCTTCTCTGAACCTGTCTAAGAAAGAAAAGCAAAACTCAAAAAACTAGTAACTATCAAAATATGCCTTTTATTGAAAGAAGTAATAGATTTAAGACTCCTGCCTTTGGGTTATTAGAATTAGAAAGTGAACTTGGTTCTTTGCCAGCAAAGATGCTGAAATGATGGGTATTGATTAAGAGAGAGATCTCTAAAAACTTCAGAGGACCTTCTGAGGCCAAAAAGGCATAGATCACAATGTGGGCAAAAGAAATACTGAGGCTGGGTTTCCATCAAGTTTTTTTTTTAGGGTGCTCTCTGTTTTATTCTTGTAATCATAAAACAACCTTATAAAGATGAATGTCTTTTATTATGAAAATTGCTGTTGCATTACAGCCAACATTCTGAAACAGTATTTTTAACAAACACTTATCTTGATTATAAAGTAGAGCAGAAACCATGATCCTTTTCCAAAAGTAATTAATATCTGCTGAGTCACTTCACATAAATCAGGACTGTATGTTCACCGTGGTGTGTGAGAGATGAGATGAGGAAGAGCACCTATGTTATCCAAAACAGCTACTAGTGTTACTGGTACAGTGTACACCAACAATCTACAACAGGACATTTTTTAAAAAGCAAACCACTAAAATATTGAGGTGCCACAATACTTTTGAGACAGATGGGAAAAGCCAAAGCTTGTTTCCTTTTCTTCCATCTGTGAGTTTGATGCAAGGTCTAGGGAAGAACCACAACACGAGGCTGGGGATCACTGCAGTTTTTTCCTTCTTTATTTCTCAATCTTCAGCTCCACACAACAGCCTCCTTGCCGAAGCTCATCAGGCTCTCAGTTGCAGGATGAAATACAGTATTTGCACATGAACGAGTAAGGTTCCATAACAGTTCAGAGTCAGTGTTTGAATTCCAGTGTATTAACTCTCTATCCCAGTGAAGAAACCAAAAACAAAATTCCTATGTTCTTTTTAATCAGGTGGCAAATGACTCCTATGTGGAAGCATTCCATGTTTGGGGTTAGGATGTAGAAGTCACTACATAGAACCTCTCCCATCATGAATACCCTGGTGGAAAAGCTTAGAAAAAGTTAAAACTGCAGCTTAAAAATTCCTCTTTCCCCTCCCCCAGCAAAGAAGCATGCTGCACATGACTGGAAGGGGTCTAGGAAGGCATAGTGTGGCTACTAAAGTTTCCAGTACATCTGCTTCTTATCAAGGGATCTGGGGTAACTGCAGATGGATTTAGGCAAACCAGAAACTCAAAAATATTCAACTTCTTTAATGTAAGAAGCTGTACTAGGAATTTTTCTTACAACTTCATTAGCTGATTCACCCTTTACTATAGGACAAATAGCCTTTTTCCAAATGGTAAATGTATGAAATTTTGGGAACTTAACATAGGCCAAGGATTGGGCTGATGTGACTTCTACTTCCATTTTCATCCTCCTTTTAAACTACACAGATTTTTTTCTTCTGGGCTGAGGGCTCTAATTATTAGTAAGGCTCAGAAATAACAACCAAAGTCCTTTCCAATTTCAATACCATTCTTTTTCTCCACAACAAAGACTCCAGATGGTGCTCTAATCCTCAGTAGTTTTCAAACTGTTATGCAGCCTAGTTAAGCTTCTCACGCTGGATCTGGTAGTAACATGCCTGAAAAAAAGTTCAAAACAATTCCAAATTTATTTTTAAAGAAATTATGTAAACAGAGCAATGCACTAAAGAAAAAAATCCCTTATTAAAATTGAGGGCCCAACAAATTCAGTTGCATACACTTTTCCCTGTCTCTTTTAAGTCTCTCATTCAATGGCTATTTTTGGTATAGCTGCAATTAACATGCATAAGATTTTACATATTTTCCTTCTAATTCTAAGACAAACAAAAATATGTTCTACACCACAGTGTACACTGGTGACTGCACATACACAGCAAGCTGATCATTTCCTAGGGTATATCTGTACACTAGGACAGGTGTAATCAGAATCACCTGAGACATTTAATAAACACAGAAACTGGGTATCACTGCATACTCAGCCAGTCAGAATTTCTATTTTTAAAGAAGTACCCTCAGTGATTCTGAAAGTGCCTAGGCTTGGGAATTATTCATATTACAAGGAATGCCATGTCCAGGAAATGATGATTTTACTCTTTAAATCCTTAGGATGAATTCCTAGGAGGATTACTGACCAAACCCCACTATTTTTTTTGCTGTTGTTGATAACTATGTTAATAATTTATAGCAACCATTATTATAATAGCAGAGGGTGATTGCTATTTATCCCATTAACAGTTATGTGGAATAATGATTTCACTCTAGCATGGGGTATAATTTTAAAACAAAATTTACTGTTTAAGAGTGAGTATGAGCATTTTTCTACACATAAATTTACTAATTCAATTTTTTCCTTGCTGCTCTGTTTAAAGATACTCTTCATATAATATAAATAATTTGTGGCCAATATTTTCCCTAGTTTCCTCTCTTTTTCAGTTTAATAGCAATGTTATTGTTGTTTACTTTAAAAAGTTAACTCAAGCCAGAAACTGGAGATTAAGTTCTAGTTTTTTTCTCATTTTAATTTACCTGTCTTTTCCTTTTCTCTACAAATCCCAAAGAATCCTTAAGTTGCTATTCCACATTTTTGGCAAAAATGATAAAACTATCCAACACTTTACCATTTATTAAATAGCTCATCTTTTCCAATTTTGATTTGCATTCTTCATTTTTAATGTTTTCATTTTCATGTGAAGTTTTCATTATAGTACTGTCTATTCCTATGACACTAATAAAGTATTTGATCTTAATTATTATAATTTTATAATATTTTACTAACTGGCTCAGTGGGTCTACTCTCCCTCTTCGTCTCAGGAGGGCCTTTGCCATTTTCTAGCTGTTGTTCTTCCGATAAACTTTAGAGTGATTCTACCAAATTGCAAGGAAAAAAATCAAGGTGGGAAATGAAAATTCCTTCTAACAATCCCTAGAGGGCATCCAAATCAGAGTACCTTACTGTAACCGACTGGTTATAGAAAATACAAGGTGAAGAAAACAGACTGAATTCAAATTCATTATTTGCACACTGCCTTCTGTGTCTTACCTTAGTTCTATTAAGCAGTTCTATGGTTGGATACTTTTTAGGGCATTGAGAATCCTCTGTTTCTTTTATAAATATAAATGTAAGTATTTGCAACAATTTGAATGATCAATTTACAGAGAACATTGGAAAGTGATTAATTTGCTTTAGTATTCTCAAGAATAACTGACTTAACCTACTTTAACACAGTATCATATTTTTAAATATCAACAATCTGTGCTGTAAAGTTATTTAATGTTTGCATTAAGCTTTTCTATAAAGGAGAAAGCCTTTAGTGAAAGATTTATAATATGGCAAATGAAGGACAGCCTTTAAGATAAAAAATACCTACACTCACCTTCAAGGTAGTGAACATTATACCTTGTTCCCCATGCTGAAGGTAAGGATCCATCAGATCCTCAATGAGGTGTACCTCAGAGCCTAAATTCCTAATCCTGCCCCAAAGAGAAAAAGACAACTGTTATTTCAATTTACAGGTCCATCCTCCTTTGAATACCAATTGATGGAAAGAGAAAGAACAGCTCAATAAAAAGGTGATACCATACTGGAATGAGTTAAGACAAATGAAGAGCATGTTCCTGTCATTAGTTCAGACAAGGAACACAGCAGACTTGCTAAAATAATGACTTGCTAATAAAGTAAAGAAAACTGGATACCTGGCCCGTAGCACCACATATAAGAAAACAGGAAACAAGTCATCCATGGACCACAAGAAGTCTTCCTGGAGGGATGCCAGGACACTTTGAGAAATCTCTTCAAAAGTCTGCTGGATGACCTTAAGTTTGTCTGATGGGGTAAAGGTTGTGCTGTGAGAAAAAAAAATTATAAGAAGACAGCATGTGATTTTCTTAATAAAGCCACGTCTTATTAATTTTTTGATAATATCCCCTCCTGAATCTCACATGCCTGAAGACACATCAGGAGTACTGAGTCACTGAAAGGGTTGACCCCCTATGGCGCTTTGAGAAAAGAAGCCTCCAACTGTCAATGGTTCACATGCAATAATTTACTAATCACCTATAATTTCCTTCTACCCATGTGGAATCTTATTCTCCTAATACATGCTCTTTTCTGAATGACAAGTTCAGTTAATTTTCATTTGGATAAAGATGTACCTATATAGAAAAATTTCTGGATAGGCTGTCTACCACTTTTGTAAATGTAAGCATTTCAGAGTAAAAGATAACCCAAATGTCTCAAAAGAGACTTTCTGATCTCCAGGTTGAGTCTGACAACATCTGGAAGTGGAGAGGCACTTAGAGCTTAAGTAAAATAAGATCTTATTAATATCCTAATGGACTAACCACTACTTTGATTTTTGTCTTTTTTTCAGCAAATGAGGTTTACCTGATCTGCTGTAGACATTCCACTGCTGAGGCAAAACAAGCATCTTTTGTGGTTGGCAAAACCTACAAAAAGAAAATTAATGACAGTCAAAGAGGAAAGCTATCTTTTGCAACAATAAAAATAAATGATCCTAGGACTGGGGTGTGTTCAAGTGGTAAAGCATCTGCCTTGTAGGCACAGGCCCTGAGTTTAAACTCAGTATTGCCAATAAATAAATGAATGAATGGATGAACGAATGAATGAATAAGTAAATAAATAATCCTGATGGTAGAAGTGTGGTTCATTGGTAGATAACTGATGCTAATACAAGCCTGAGTATTGTCCTACCAAAGTAAAATGGAATTTTTTCTTTTGCTATTTTAAATACTTCACACCAAAATTAAAGGGCACATTTGTTGAGAAAACTAAAATCTACTGTACCTTTTTACTTTCTCCAAGGATTGACAAGGTCACTGGCCAAAACTTCCTATAATAAAACCCATAAATTATTAGCGTAAGTTGTTACTATGTAGATAAATCCCATAAAAAGAGATGACAGCAATATTGGCTTTCCTGTTTCCATTAAAAATAACTGTTTTACAGATAAATTTTAATAAACATTCCAAAAGTGATTTAAGAGTTTCTATCATCCCTAAGGAATTCGTTATTCTGTATTCCAGTAACTCTACACATTATAAATACTGATAGATTGGGCCAAATCTTTCCTTCTTTTGGTTTTATCTTACTTTTTACTACTCAGTTATTCTACTGACAAAATTTACTTTTCAATTTTGGCTTATTCACTGTTTTTGAGAGCACAAATACATAATTATTGGGTGAGTAAGAGATCAGCTTTATCACTGCACTCTTTTTTTTTATTATTGTTTTATTATTCATATGTGCATACAAGGCTTGGGTCATTTCTCCCCCCTGCCCCCACCCCCTCCCTTACCACCCACTTCGCCCCCTCTCTCTCCCCCCCACCCCCTCAATACCGGGCAGAAACTGTTTTGCCCTTATCTCTAATTTTATCACTGCACTCTTTAGAAAAAAAGCATAATCATTAGTATTCACCTGGAACAAGAAGTAATGCCTCATGACAAAAAGAACACTTCTAAAATCAAAATTAAAAATTACAGATGGAGGAAAAAAAAGGAAAGAAGTGTGCCAAAGATTGAATATAACTATTTCTAAGGAATGTGAATATAAAATATTTATTTTGCTTTAAATAACTATAAATTATCAGTCAAAATAAGCCATATTTAAGTTATAAATATGACAACACAAGAATAGCTACTCAGGGGGCAGAGATCAGGAGGATTGTAGCTCAAAGCCAGCCCAGGCAAACAGTTTGCAAGACCATATCTCAAAAATTCCCAACACAAAACAAGGCTGGCAGAATGGCTCAAGTGGTAGAGCACCTGTCTGGCAAGCATGAAGCCCTGAGCTCAAGTCCTAGTACCACAAAAAAAAAAAAAAAAAAAAAAACGCGAGAGAAATAAGAAGTTTTCATATTCATCTCCCACTATTCTCAGAAATGATTATTTAATATCACTGTTTTGCTAAATAAAGTGGATATGCAAATAAGTAAATAAACTGTAAGTCACATACATAACTAGATATCAAAAGTACCAAATTCGTGACAACACTGGTGGATCTTAAATTAAAACCTTTTGGGTGTGTTTATACCTACTGCACTTACCTCTGTACTCCAAGAAAGCCCAAGAGAGCAACATCTGCCTGCTTATTTAGTCGCAAAACACATTCCCAGTAAATGTCTTCCTCGCGATCATTATCCAATGCATAAAGCATGAATAGTGGTGGGTAGAGCCGAGGTAGTAACACAGGAAGCAGTAATCCAGAACTCGTTACTACGTAACTATAAAATATTGGAGTGGGAGGACAGGAGCATTCCTATTAAAACTGAATACAGAATCAAAGACATAGCATCCTTTTCTAAAAGTCAAAAGTGCAGACGGGACACTTTAAAGAAGTTATAATGCTACTCTATTATTATCTGTGATAGAGGGGTTTGTACTCAGGGTCTTATCCTTGCTATGCAGGCACTCTACCATTTGTGCTGTGACCCTAACCTTTTTAGTTATTTTTCAGATAGAGTCTTGGGTTTTTGCCCAGGGTCAGTCTCAGACTTCGATCCTTCTACTTCTGCCTCTTGTAATATGGTATGCACTGCCATACCAGCTTGTTTGTTGAGATGGGGTCTTACTAACTTTTTTGCTTGGACTGGCCTGGAACTGTGATCTTCTCAAGTAGTTGGGATTATAGGTATGCTATGGCCTTAGAGTTTTGTCTTGGACCAATTGCAAATTCTACTCAATAACTGAAAAACTAACTAAAAATCTACTTTGCTCCCATTTTAAGGCTGCTTTCTCTGGTATTATTCAAGGTCAAGATACTACTTTGTGAACAATCTTTGTGCCCTGATTATTTGTGCCTGCTCTTTCCTGGGGTATAGCTAATACAACTGGGGACTTTAGAGGAACCCAGAGATCACCTAATCCAACCATACATTGTAGAGGAAATAGATCTAGAGAAGGCAACTTATCCTGGACTCTTCAGATAAGATCATCTAGTCCTCAACCCATTTGTACACCATCTTAGCCAACTCCATTTACCCTGGCTCTGGTGATTCCGATCTGGAATCCGACTTCCCAGTGCAAAATGACTTCCTTTCCATTGGCAGAGGAGCAGAGAGAGGGATTGTGCTGCCCTCTTCAGGAAGTTCAGGAAATAAGAACCTAAGAGATAATTAAAAAAAAAAAAATGTAACTACAGAATTATACTTCCAGAGTGGCTAGTAAATATTTTAGTCCCCCAAGTTTGACTTGATATTTCCTAAAATTAAGAGTGCAGTTACTGAGTATTTCTAAAAGGACTTCAAGTACGGGTTTTGTTTTATCTAGTTACTAAGGAATGAAGAATTCTGACCTACCCAAGATATTATTTCTTACAGGCAAATCTTTTGTGAGGCCAATTAGTATTAACTACAGAGACCATTAGTATCAAAATATAAGCAAATACTAGTGAAAACTATGCAAATGTAAAATAAAAGTGGCTACATAAATTATAAAAATCTCAATGTAAATTTTAAAAATGTTTTTAAAGATGATTTGCTAAAATTTAAGTTTTTGAATGATCAAAGGATTCAAGTATTGAGGGTGCTTTTTTTCCCCCTCTAAGCTTGAGTTTTACCCTGTATTTTATCTCTTACTTCTGATATACTGGAGGCTCTACATACGTAAACTTATTGCCTTTTGGGTTTTTTTTTGTTTTTTTTTTTTGCAGTACTGGAGTTTGAACTCAGGGCCTCACACTTGCTAGATAGGTACTCTATCACTTGAGCAACTCCACCAGCCCTTTCTTGTGTTGGGTATTTTTGAGATAGGGTCTCGCTTTTGTTGCTTAGGCTGGCCATGAATCCTGATCTTCCTCATCTCTCCCTCTCAAGTAGCTAGGATTATAGGCATGAATCACTGGTGCCCAGCTGTCCTCTTTATTTTCACAGACCTAAATCTTGACCTTTCAAAGGAAGCTTGTACTCTTGTCTATTTTTGTAGATTTATACCTTGACCCTCCCTCTGTCCTAATTTTATAGTTGGGAAAACTAAAAAAAGGTTCTAGGACAAATTTATAAACTTTTTCAAAATTATTCAATGTAGTTTTTACTTGTTGGTTTAAACCAAAAAAAAGGTTTTTGCATATAACAAGCTTAAACTTGCTTGCCACCTGCAACTGTCTACCCCAAGATGCTTAATGGTTCATTTAGTTACCTTCATCAAAGTCTCTGCTCAATTACTACCTTAGAAGTCAAGCTTCCTTGACCTTCTGTAAGATAGCAGCACCTTACCTCTAACCCCACCCTCATTCCCTCCTATTTTTCTCTAAAGTGCTAATCATACTGATATACTATATATTTGTTTCTTTTTACCTCCACTAGAATGTAAACTCCATGAGAACACAGATTTTTGCTGTTGTTCACTGATGGTGACTGACAGATAAAAACACTCAATAGCTACTTGTGAATAAATGAATGAATATAATGCTATTGTGAAGGCACAGGACATAAATACTCAGGGACAAAGCTTTACATTGAACTTTATTCTGCAGTTAAGTTTTAAAGACACAATTTTGCCTAAATATTAAATTTAAATAAGACGACAAGGCGAGGCACCGGTGGCTCATGCCTATAATCCTAGCTATGCAGAAGGCAGAGATCAGAAGGATCATGGTTCAAGGTCAGCCCAGGAAATTAGTTGTGGAGACCCTATCTCGAAAACACCCAACACAAAAACGGGATGGAGGAGTGGCTCAAGGGGTAAGAATGCCTGCCTAGCAAGTGCCTGAGTTCAAACCCTAGTACTGACAAAAAAAAAAAAAAAAAAAAGTACATTCCACACCAAATTAGAATTGAAAAACCAAACATACATTTTATCTTTCTGTTACACTTTATGAGTAGGAATACATATAAGAAAGTAGCAATGGCTAAGGTTCATCTTTTTTCATTTATAGCATAAACATAAATTAAGCAAATATTTTCATTATTTAATCAATTTAAGGACCTGTGGCATGAAACCACTTTCTTGATGAATAATTTCTGTGATAAGGGCATACATGATTCTTTGCAAAAGAATCTAGCTGTTCTATCTGTTGATGTAAACTACTGCAAAGCTTTCTGATTTCAGTGAAAAGACTGCTTGCCTCACTAGCTGGAAAAGTCGTGTAAGATAGGACTTCATCTCCTTTACAGCCTCTTGCAGTAAGCGCCGATTGGCTCCTACGCCCACATACGTCATTCTGTACACTGCAACCAGTGCCTCCACAAGTCTGCCCAGGGGGTGCAGAGGAGTGTCACAGGCCTGACCAGGAAGAGAATCAAGGAAGTCAGTCAATAGGCAATTAGAAATAACAGCAGAAACCATCAATCAATGAATAATCAGCTTCACGAACAACAAACACTTTTCAAAATGATAGGAGTTAATTTTTAGACCAGGAAAATTCAAATGCCTTAACTTTTATGATTATTGAATCTACCCAAATTATACAAAGATAGAGTTCCTAATTTTTTTTTAATTGACAAGAGAGTAATTGCACATATTTATGGGGAACAGTATGATGTTTTGGTCTACTTATATATTGTGTATTGATCAACACAGGATACTTATCCATCACATCAAATATTTATCTTTCTTTAGATGAGACCATTCAAATCCTTTCTTCTAGTTTTTCTGAATTATTTAATACAATATTGTTAACCATATTACCCTCTGTGTAACAGAACACCATCACTTATTTTTCCACAACAGAAAACTATTCAGTTATTTAAAAAAAGGAGAAAATCTTGTCATTTGCAGCAACATGAATGGACCTGGAGATCACAAGATTAAGAGAAATAAGTCAGGCACAGAAAGACAAATACTACATAATTTCACTCATGTGAAACCTAAAAGAATTAAGCTCATAGAAGTAGAAAGCAAAATAGTGATTACAGGAATTCCGAATCTTCTTAATCAATGACTTTTTTTTAACATCTTCAGAAAATAGCTTTGGAAGTCCTGATATGGAATGCCACTGAGAGAAATATTCTAATGTATCTTAAACCTCACAAAAATTAGCCAAGCATGGTGGCACATCAACACACAGGAGGATGAGGTCAATCAGGGGTACACAATGATACCTTGCCTAAAACTAAGCAACATCAACAACAAAAAGCTTCACAGAAAGTATATAAAATGATGCCTTAGAGAAACCCAAATATGATTTTGCTCTGAAAAACATCATGCTTCAATTCCCTTGATTTCTCATACTCCTTTCTGTACCCCTGTACAAATGCATGTTGTACTTTAAATTCTAGCTGATCTTACAGAGTTAAAAAGAAATAAAGGAGATATTTCAGGGGCTAGGGAAACGTGCTTTATTCATACAATTTCTGTCTTGCTAACTTTAAAAAGCCACTTTAAACTCTGACCTTACACCTCAAGAACCCCCTTGAGCAAATTTTAAACTTAAAAGTCTTATCCTAATAATGGGACAATCTTCATGTAGAAATGTGATCTTAGTCATCAGAGAATTTGTAGAATAAATACTAAGAGAGAAAAACCAGGATGAGATTAACATTTGAATGATCTATAGTAGTAACATCAATTCATGAAACCAATGCAATTTGACTCTAGTTTACCTTTATTAAATACTTCTTGATGTCATCATATTTCTCCACAGAGAAGGCACCAACATGCTGTGGAATGAATTCCAAACTCTCTAGTGTCTGAGTCTGTGAACGGCTTAGTATTTCTGGACTATAAAGAGAAAGGAAAGCCCACTATGTATTTCACATCAAGAAAGGAAGAAAATGGGCTGTAGGTGTGACTCAGGTAGAAAAGTACCTGCAAAACTGTAAATGTGCACACGAAACAGTCACCGACTAAGGATGAAGTACAGCATCCAGCACAGGACTAAATGAGCTCATACATGGTAGATGACCTGTTATTAGGTACTCAGTTTACATAACTTTCATTCAAAACAACATTTAATACTACTTCATGCCAACTACAACAAATTAATGAAAATTGTGCTCCAATCTAAATCATGGTATTGAGAAATTCCCAACATTAGCTTGAAGAGAAAACTGGTGGTAGACCTATTAATGATAAGAGGAAAATGGAACAAAAAGGGGAAAGAGTGAAAGAAAAAGGAAAATAAGTCAAAGGAAGAAATGAAAACGGGCTCAAGTAGCAAGGAGTTACTGAGGGTACTGCAACAAGTGGCAGGGGAAGCACATGCTGGGTAAAGGGAAGTTCTGAATGAAGAGGCTAAGACAAATCTACACACTAGTAATCAAAAGAAATTTTTGACAATGGCATTCTATTATTAGGTTATAATCAATTAGAAAACTGGAAATAATGCACAGTCATTATTATTATATCACTCAAGATTAAAAAAATAAGATCTTTGTGATAGCAGCATGGTTTTATGCAAAAGTCCATTTATTCTCAATTCTTGGAAACATCCAGCCACAGTTAACTAGCGTTAACTTCAAGGCTAAAGTGTCAAGGTCTACCTGACAGCCTTTATCTGTGAAGGATGACCTTATGTTTCATACACAAAGGCCAGATCATGTTTTTTGTTTGTTTTGGTTTTTTTTGCTTTTTGATACAGGGTCTTGATACATAGCCCAGGCTGTCCTCAAACTCTCCATCCTTCTGACTCAGCATCTCAAGTGCTGAGATTGCCATGCCCAGCTAGTTTTGGTCAATTCTAGGATTTTCCATTGGTAGCAACCAGGAACTTCATGAATGAAACACTTTTTGTTAGAGTTTAGTGTGAGACATTTAAACTTCCTGAAATACATTTTGGTCTCTGGAATCTAATTTTTATATAATTATACTGCACTTAGTAACAAAATTATTTAAAAACTGATAAATTAGCCAAAGAATTAGGTAACTTTTAGGAAACAAGAACATTTATATTCTGAAATAAATGGTAAATTTTAATTTTTGAGTACTAGAAAGCAACTAATACATGCAAATGAAAACTGGCATAAAACTAATTTTGTTTTGTTTTGTTTGTCACCCAGGGCCTTTGCCCATGTTTTATTTATTTTTTCTAGTTTATTTTATTATCATATTATTATATTATATAAAACTAATTTTTAAAATCAACTGTATGTAGTTGTACACATAGATCAAAATAAGCTCTTTCATATTTTAATAACAAAGGAGAAGGCTCAAATGACTGCCCAGAATTATACTCAGGATAGTTAATAAAGAAGTTTTGCTGTACAGATTAGTAAATGCTGGGCAATGCTTGTGGGACTTACTGGTCAAGTTAAAAAATCTGAAGAAAGGAAGAAAGGAAGATGGAGAAAAAAAAACAGGAGAAAAGGAGAAAAAGTAAGAAAATAAGAAAAAAAAGAGAAAGAAATCTGTAATTTTTCTTTAAGCATTTCAAAAACACTAAACAACTTCTTTCTGGTCTCTAAGGCTTCTAAGGAGACAATACAAGTATTTATTTAAATTGCTGTCTCTTCAGCTACTTTCAAGATCTTTTTCTTTGAATCTGAATATGATGCCTCTACAGGAGCATCTGAGATTTTTCCAGCACAGGGTTTACTCAGCTTATTGAAGGTACAGGTTCATGTCTTTTACCAAACTTGAGAAGTTTCCAATAATTATTTCTTCAAAAAAATTGCCTACCCCCACATTCTTTCTCCTCTTCTAGAATTCTAAGGACACAAATTAAGAACCATAGATCCTCAAGAATCTGTTCACTTTCTTCCCCATGTTTTTACTCGGGTCTGACTGGATAATTCCTACTCATCTATTTTCAAGTTCACTGGCTCTTCCACTGCCATCTCTGCTTTACTACTGAGTCCATCTGGTGAGTTAATTTATTTTGTATTTTTCAACTCTAAACCTTTGATTTGGTACTTTTTGATGTCGCTTTCTTTGTTGATAATTTCATTTTAATATTTGTTTCAAGGATGTCTGAGAATGCTCACTTGAGCATTTTTATAATAGCTGCTTTAAAGTTCTTGTCAGGTAATGCCAGCATCTATGCCAGCTAATCACTGATGCCTGTTGATTGTCTTTCCCCAAATGAGTTGATATTTTTTATGGTTGCTCTGGGTCTTGTTTATATCCTGTGGAGAATATTGACAGGCATAAAAGATAAAGATAGCAGGCCTGAAATATTATCTTTAGAAGGACCTGCTTTTAAGGCTAGCTCTTGGTGGTAGCCTGGGAACTAAGCTTGCTAAAAGTTCCCTACACTGTTATGAAAACTTCCCTAACTGATAAGAGTTCATGCTACCCTCAGACTGTACTAACATTGTGTGATTTATGATAAATATCTTCTTTCCCTGTGGAATTGTGGAATTCTGGAAGTTGCCAGGCAAATGGCACCCATGTTCCCAGACTCCAGTAAGAAGAGCTTTAGGCACTGAGTCTCCAATGTGCTGAGCCAAAATGCTGTGCATAAGTAGCTGCATTTTACTGCTAGGAGGTTCAGGTACTCTCTGTGACCCTCATAGAAGGGAGAGAACATGGGAAGCTTACTTATGGTGTCTCTGGAGAGACATTTTTTGTTTCCTTACAATCTGACTATGTATCATTAATATGTTGTTATAATCTTACTTGTGAGTAAAACTACATTTTAAGTCTTTGAGACCTTCTAGCAAATCATTGGATGTCTAGGTGATCTTGGGAATCCCTAAACAGCTGATCTTTTTGTTTCAGTCTTCTGTGGGCTTTGGTTCCTCCAACATCATTTCATTACTCAAAGTCTTTGCAGTCCTCTTTGGATCTGCACTGTTAATGTAGCACTTAATGGTCAGTCTAGGACCTAAGTACAGGTCTACCTATTAACTCAGTTCTCAAAGTCTTCAGCATACTAATTAGGATCAAATTCATGTTATGTGCAGGTCTCCAGTGAGCATAGGGGTTCATAAACTTTATGGGATTGTTTCCAAGCTCTTCTCTCCATTTCTTGCCTGGTATTTTCAGGTTCTCAGAACTTCCTTTTTTGTTCCTATAGCCAGAAACTGCCCACTTTTGTGAATGTGCTATATCTAGGGCCCAATGGTGGGAGGACAGAGAGCAAGGCCACCAAATCAATGGGGTTTGACCTTGCCTTGTGGACCTAAGGATCCAACAACAGGAGAAAAACTTCTACTCCTTTGGAGTATGGTTCCTATAAGTTTCCTGTTCATAGCTGGTCTAGATGCTGTCATTATCATTCCTGCTCCAGAAGTACCTGGAGGCTAGAGCATGATAGACTGGAGAAAAAGAAGAAAGCTAGGTGAATAACCTCCAGTCAGAGTTTTAGGGGGTCCTTGTCTCTCTTCTTGAGCTGGAACCAGAGGTTTTTTTCTAGATCTCTGGCTGTCTATACCATAGTGCTTACTCTCAAGTTGCCCTGAGTTCACACTGAGGAACACTGAAGCAAAATAATCCGGTAAACTCACCACTGACTTTGTGGGTCTTTGAATTCAGATGTTCTTCCTCAATCACTTGTTGAAATCTACTTTACAGAGTTCTCAAATAGTTGCTCATGTATTCTGTCCAGGTTTAATAGTTGAGTTCAAGAGAAGATAAAGGAGCTGTGCTTTAATCTATCTTACTCAGAAGGAAAAGTACATCATTAACTTTTAAATTATATTCTGTAATTAAATGTAGTGAACCTTGACTACTTACTTGCTCTAAGTTTCATTTCCCTTACATGCTCTGTCATGCACTGGATAGGCATTCACTCACCTGTCTCTGTGCTGGCGCCGATTGGTAGTCAAGGCCACAGCAATATTGTCCCAGGCTTTCCAAACTTCCCCTTGGCCTGGGCTCTCACAGCCCAGCTGGTGCCAACATTCATCAAACACTGCTCTCCACTTCTCATCTGGTGCCACTGCCAGGTTTCCGAGCTTCCTGCTAATAAAGCCACAACAACTTTTCATTAATCACTACTTTTATGCAAAATCATTCCAAAGAATATAAACTTTCTTATGTACAACTGGGAATACTTCCATGACCAAACTGTCTAAATTAGTGGTAATTCAATTTTTAAAACACTGAATGACAATTTGGAAGGGATAGTTTTTAACTAGTGTTTATTAGATACTTGAGAATATAGATTATTAAGCATGAAGCTGATCAGAGTTAATTTCTCTGCTTCCTACATTTCCTCAGAAATGATTCCTGTTAAAACAAGGACTTTCTGTACTTTGCACATTTCATGATAAGAACAGTAAAATGAATTACATACTAGAAACTAAAAAATACTCATAAGAAAAAAATATGGTACAGAAAATCAAGCTCCAATTGGAACAAAGAATCTGAGATGACAGCAAAACATAAAAACAAAGATAAAATTGCAATCAATAAAGAAGAGATGGCCAGTGCGGTGGCTCAATCCTGTAATCCTTGCTACTTGGGAGGCTGAGAGCAGGATTGAGGTTTGACACCAACTATGGCAAAATATTGAGAAGATCCCATTTCAATAATGGCTAGAAGCAGTAGTTCATGCCTGTCATCCTAGCTACACAGGGAAGCATAAATAGAAGGTTTGTGTTCCAAGCCAGTCCATGCATAAAGTGAGACTCTATCTCAAAAATAACTACAAAAAGGGCTCACAGAGGGGCTCAAATGGTAGAGCACCTGCCAGCAGCTGTTGAGGCCCTGAATTCAATCCCCAGTACTGCCAAAAAAAAAGAAAAAGAAAAAACATAGCCCTCATCAACATGGTGGCACCCAAATGGGGCAAATTTGTTCACCTTGCATTTTGGACAGGACAGCAGTCTAGGCTATAGGCAGTGAGTGGGGCTGGGGATCCACAGAGGGGAATGGGAAGAAAGACACAGTGTTGATGGCAGGGCCTGTTGACCAGGCATGCGGCACTTTCTTGGTGTCCAATCAGTGGTCTCAGTCCTCAGGACCCTTTCCTCACCTCACCCCTGGGCCCATAGTAACTCGGTGGACTGGAGGGCCAGGGCTTTGGGCATGGAATGGGGGAGATGGGAATCCAAACTGCAAGTGTAAGGCCAGACTATCAAGTTTCATTTCTTGTGCTTTTCTTCTGAGGTATTAATTTGAAAAGGAAAATAATTGCATCTTAGGGCTTCATGTCACTTAACCACTGTGCTAGACACTTTACATTTCTCTTCTCCGAATGTCCCTCTGCACAATCAATGTGAAATTCCTAGGTTCGGGGAAATAATGTATGAGTGGATATGTGTTCATAGGGCATTAAGCTCCACCATTTTAATGGCAGAGATTTTCTTTCCTAGGGAACCTCCTCCCAGCTCTCTAGTTTGGGGACAATGTGCTAAAAATGCTACAAATAAGATTAATTTGACCAATTTAATTCATTTCACTGTCATAATCTAGTAAAAGAGATTTTAGTAATTGATGGTCCCAAGACCTGTGTCAACTCTTAGAATCCAAGATTGGCTTTTCCACCTCCACAGTGAATTAGGTTTGATGATTAGTTTTCTTTCTTTTTTTTCATTAGTGTTGTAAAAAAAGAAAGAGAGAGAGGAGAGAGAGAAAGTAGAGGGAGAGGGAGAGGTAAGGAAGGGGAGAGAAAAGGAAAATAGCCAAAAAGTTAGATTTTGCCTTTTTTTCCCTCATATATACAAATTGCACTATCCTACTTGGAGTGTGTGTGTGTCCTTCACTTTTTAAGTTCAAGTTGTATAAATACACTTTCAGGACTGGGAGTGTGGCTCAAGCGGTAGAGGAGCGTTTGCATACAAATTTGAAATCCCCAGTACTGAAATAAAAAAAAAAAAGAAAGAAAGAAAGAAAAAAGAATGTTCTTTTAGTAACAGCAGGATTTCTCTCACACCTTTAACTTTTAAATATCTGTGCACTAAGGCTTATAACTTAAGCCCAGACGATAGATTTGGCTATCTATACCAGTATCAGCTAACAATTCAGGGAAGTTATACATTATTTTTTTTAAAAAAAGAAGATGATAACTTTAGTACTTGATTTTGCCTTTAAAATATTAACCTGTTTTGATGAAAGCAAAACAACTCCAAACATTCAATAATTGATCCAGAATTAATACCAGTTACTCACAAAACTTTGGGTCTGTCTTTATCACTTTCATACAGACTAGGTTTGAAGTAGGTTCCAGTGATTTTTATTCCAGATCCCCATTCTCCACTAAAATAACCTTCTATATAATCTCCATTTGGCATAGTTAGTGTTCCCTGGGTAAAGTTAGAGAAGGAAATGTGGAGTTAGAGGAAGTATTTTCAATTTTAAAAATTAAGAGGGAAAAAAGCACTAAATGGTTAATTTAACATTTTTCCTTTCCAATTTGCTCTTTACCAGTCCCAAATCCTTGATTAAAAGAAAAAGTCTGTACATGAATGTCCAGAAAGAATGTACAAAAATAATCCATACATAAAGGGGAAAAATGTCACAGAAACCATAAAATATTTTTAGTTGTATGAAACAAACACAGAACATATTAGAATTTGTTGTATGGTGCTAACCCAGTGCTTAATAGAAAATTAAGAGCTATTAACTTATCTTTGAAAATAAGTAAGATATCAATCAAATCAATAATATGAATCCCACTTGATAAAACTAGAACCCTGCCAGGTGCCACTGGCACATACCTGTAATCCTAGCTACTTAGGAGACAGAGATCAGAAAAATCACAGTTCGAAGGCAGACTGGTCAAAGAGTTCACGAGACCTTATCTTGAAAGAACCCTTCACAAAAAAGGGCTGGTGGAGTGGCTCAAGGTATAAGCCCTGAGTTCAAACCCCAGTGCTGCAAACAAACAAACAAAAAAACTAGAACCCAGGGAATAAACTAAACCCAAAGCAAGACGGAAGGAAATAGTAAAGATTGGAGAAGAAATCAGTGAAGCAGAAAACAAAAACTAGAGAAAAAATTAATGAAGTCAAAAGTTGCTTCTTTAAAAAGATATGCAAAATAACAAACATTTTATTAGACCGAACAAGAGAAGACATAATGCCGGGCAACGGTGGCTCATGTCTGTAATCCTAGTTACGTGGGAGTCAGAGATCAGGAGGACTGCAGTTGGAAGCCATTCAGGACAAACAGTTCATGGGACCCTATCTCAAAAACACTCAACACAAAAGCGGGCCATCAAAGTGGCTCAGTGGTAGAGTGCCTGCCTAGCAAGTGTGAAGCCTCGAGTTCAAACCGCAGTACTGCTGGAAAAAAATGACATAAATTTAAAGTCAAGGATGAGACACAGGATGTTATTATCATCCTCATGGAAATTAAAAAGGCTAGAACGGGCTATTGTTTCAATGTGTGTCCCCTACAAAATTCATGTTGAAACTGAAATCGCAATGAGATAGAAGTAAGAGGTGGGGCCTTTTGGAGAAATGATTAGGTCATGAAAGCTTTGCCCTCAGTAGATTAGTGCCTTATGAAAGGGCTAGAAAGAACTAGATTACAACCTTTTGTCCTTCTGCTTTCCATCATGTGACTGTTGCCCATTCCACCCTCTAAGTATGCATCAAGAAGACCCACACTGGGCACCAGATGCCAGTGCCTTGGACTTGGTCTTGGACTTCACAGCCTCCAAAACTATGAGGAAATAAATTTTCCAATTACAGTGGCACAAATGGACTAAAACAGAAAGTAATGAGAGCTTTATGATAACAAATTAGATAACTTAGATAAAAAAGAAAAATCCTAGGAAGATGAAGATTCCTAAAACTTAAGAAGAAACAAAAACTGAATAGCCCTACAATAAAAAAATTAAACAGAATTAAAAGCTCAGATGTTTCTCTGGTGAATTCTCCCAAACATTCAAAAAAGAAATAATACCAAAATTTCACAAACTCAGAAAACAGAAGAGGAGTGAAATTTCGTAACTTGTTCTATGAGACCATTATTATCCTGATACGAAAGACAGACAGGCTGGAGGCATGGCTCAAGTGGTAGAACACTAGACTAGCAAGCAAAAGGCCTTCAGTTCAAACCCCAAACCACCCAAATATAAAAATAAAAACAGACAAGAGTTGGAGGTATAGCTCAGTGGTATAGGATGTGCTTTTAGCACACATGAGGCCCTGGGTTTGATCCCCAGCACTCAAAAACAAAACAAAAGATATTACAAGAGAAAACTACAGACCATTATCTCTTATAATTATAGACACAAAAATCCTCAACAAATAAAAGCATTAAATCTAACCACAAGCCAGAAAGAGTGGTGCACACTTGGTAGTCCCAGCACTCAAAAGGCTGAGGCAGAGGATCACCTGAGTCTGGGAGTTCCTGTCTTGTTTGCAGATTTATTATATGTATTTTTGATTAAGCACAGTCAAAAACCAAAAAATCAAAAGATATTTCAACAACAAAAATTTTTAATTCCTGTGAGCACATAGCTTCTAAAGTGAAGAAGTTGCAGGTCAGTCCCATGTTATCAGCAGTTGTGCTGTTTTCTTGCCCTCAATTTTGTAAAAATATGTTTTCCAAAAAGCAAGGTAAAAGTGAATGTGCTTAATTTAAGTAGTAAAGTCAAATTCTTTGATTTGTTGAAAAGTGGTGTGTCTTCACCAGAATGGGAGTATTCTGCTAAAATGAATCAAACGCCTGCAGTACAGTACTGAATTCTATGTACCCTAAGCATTGCGGTTTTTCCTCAATGGAGCTATATACTTGTGGATATCAAGGGTGTACTTTACAACACTGCTGAAAGAAATTAAAGATCTACATTAAACTGTGAGATGTCCTGTATTTATGGATTGTAAGATTCAATATTATTAAGATGTCAATTCTCCCAAAATTGATCTATACATCCAATGGAATAATTATCAAAATCTCAGGAGGATTCATTGCAGAGTTTGATAAGCCAACCCCAAAATTTATATAGAAGCCATATGTGGTTGTGTACACCTGTAATCCTAGGTACTTGGCAGGAGGAGGCAGGAGGAGTTCAAGTTGGAGGTCAGCACCAGCAAAGTGAGTAAGAACTTATCTCAAAAACAAAATACAGTGGTAGAGCACCTGCTTCTCAAGTATGACACCTTGAGTTCAAGCCCTAGTACCACCCAAATAAATAAACAAAATAAGAGGAAAGGAAAGGAAAAACAAAATACAACAAAAGGCTGGGGGCATGGCTTAAGTGGTAGAGAGCATGCCTAGCACACGTGAGGCCTTGGGTTCAACTACCAGTACTAAAATTAAAAAAAAATAAAGTACACAGAAAGTAAAAGGATCCAGAATAGTTAAAAAACAATTTTGAAAAAGAACAAGATTAAAAGACTTATACTTCCTGATTTCACAACTTATCAAAAAACTTTTTTATTTTATTTTATTTTTTGGTTTTGAGACAAGGTCTCGCTATGTAGCGCAGGCTGGCCTTGCACTCACAATCCTCCTGTCTCAGCCTCCCAAGTACTTAGATTACATGCGTGCACCACCACACCAAGGTAAGACAATTTGGTATTAAAGAGAGACACGGTACGCAAAGGAACATAATTGAGGGTCCAGAAAGAAAGACATTTCATGGCTAGTTAATTGCAACAAAGGAGTCATGAAGATTCAATGGGAAAAGATGATGGGACAAGTAAACATCCATATGCAAAAGTTACCTTATAGTAAACCAATGACCTACTATAAAACTTCTATTTATTTTTGCAGTGCTGGGGATTGAACCCAGGGCCTTTCATATGCAAGGCAAGCATTCTACTACCAAAGTAGTACATCTCCAGCCCACTATAAAACTGTTGAAAGAAAGCTCACAGACAGGTATGGTACTGACCACTTATAATCCCAGTACTCAGAAAAGACTGAGGCAACAGAAAGGTCAGTTCAAGGCCAGCCTGGACTACACAGTGAATTCCAGACCAGCATAGGAATATGTAGTGGGACCCTGTCTCAAAAAACCCAAACTTAGGACTGGCGGAGTGACTCAGATGGTAGAGTGCCTGCCCAACAAGTACAAAGCCCAAGTTTGAACCACAGTACTGCCAAAAAAAAAAAAAAAAAGTCACAAGCTGCAGAAAATATGTGAAAATCATATCTAATAAAGGAATTATATCCAGAATGTATAAAGAACTCTTACAATTCAAAAACAAGACAACAACCAACCAAATTTTAGAAATGCGCAAAAGGTTTGAATAGACATTTCTCAAAGAAGATATATAAATCAGTAATAAGCACATGAAAAATGCTCTACACCATTAGTCATTAGGCAAATGCAAATAAAACCAGGAGACATCACTTCACACCCACTGAGATGGCTGTAAGAAAAATAGAAAATAGGCAATATTAAAGTAACTTTTAAAGGTGAGTTAAGAACCTAAATTACTCTTTTGTATATCCAAAATATGTGGAGAAATTAAGTCATCACACATTGCTGGTAAGAATGCAAAATGGTATAGCCACTTTGGAGACCACTTTGGCAGTTTCTTTTCTTTTTTTTAAATAAACAATTATTAGCATATATTAGTTGTACAGGAGGTTTCATTGTGACATTTCCATATGTACTTACACTGTGCCTTGGTTAGGTTCATCCCCATCATTCTCCCTCATCCCCCTCTCCCCTACTTAAAATGATTTTGACAGGTTTCAATGTTCAATGTATATAAAGTACACGGACCATATTCACCCTCCTTTACCATCTCCATTCACCCTAACAGGACCTGTTTTACATTTCTGTCCTTCATTGTTTTAAGTGTGTATGCACTGTTCAAAGGGCCCTTGTTATGGTATTTCACTTGTGAATATACTGTACTTTAATCAGTCTAACCTCTCTATGACTCTTCCTATCCTCTCTCCCTACCCCCTATTATTCAACTGCTTTCATTAAATTTTAGCAGTTTCTTAATATGTTGAACATCATTTGCCATATACCCAGCGATTGTACTGCTAGTTATCTGCTCAAAAAAAATGAAAACACATGTCTACACAAGAAGTTGTAGTCAAACATTTACAGCAGCATTATTCCATTAGTCTAGAGTTAGAAATAACCCAGTGTCAGGCCAGTAGTGGTGGGAGACGCTGTAATCCCAGCTACTTGAGTTGTGGATACAGGAAGATGGGAAGTTTAAGGCCAGCCCAGGCAAAAATTAGAGAAACCTCATCTCAAAAACAAGCTGGGTATAGTGGTACAAGCCTGTGGTCCCAGCTATCAAGGAGGTGGAGGAAGGAGGACTATGGTCTGAGGCTGACCCAGCCAAAGCTAGTGACAGACTCTATCTGAAAAACAAACTAAAAAAGCAAAAGGACTAGGAGCATGGCTTGAGTGGTAGAGTACTTGCTGAGGCCGAGTTCAATCCTCAGTACTGAAAAAAAAAAAAAAAAAGAAAGAGAAAGAAATAACCCACCATTCATTACATTCATTAACTACTGAAGGGATAAATAAAATGTGGTTTGGAATTACTACTCAGGAATAAAAAGGGGAATGAAGAACTATATATGCCACAATATGGGAAAGCTTCAAAAATACCATGGTAGTATAAAAAAGTCACACAGAAGAAGCCCTATGTGTGAGCACATTTATAAAAGGTCCAGAAAAGACAAATCTATTGCAAAATAAAGCCCTTTAGTGTTGCCTAAAATAGGAGTAACTGGGAAGGAAATGTTTTCAAGTGATAGGTCATATTCTAAAACAGGATTGTGGTCATAAAATTCACTGAAATGTGGCTGAGGTTGTGGTTCAAGTGGTAGAGCACCTGCCTAGCAAGCATGAGGCTCTGAGTTCAAACCCCAGTACTGCCAAAAACAGAAGACAAAGAAACAAAATTACTGACATGAACCCTCAGAAGCAGTGACTTTTATGGTGTATAAATTCATATTTTTTAAAGTTAAGAACAATTAGCAAAAGAATGTAGTAGAAAAAGAAAGAAGAAAGTTAGCTTCCAACCTTTCCACTAAGAGTCCAGTCATCAGAAAACTCTCCTTCATAGATAGTATCATCTTCAGAAAGTAAAACTCCATTTCCCTGTGTGAAGAAACAAAACAAAAATCACAAAATGAAATATTCAAAATAACTCAGTACATACAGTCATATACTCAGAGAACTCCCAAAAAAAAAAAAGACAAGGAAAATAGTACTAAGGTAGAATGTTAATAAAAAGATGATTTAAAAACTTAGGAACATCGGGGTTTCAAAAGGTCAATAATAACTACAGGCAAATATTCTACTCACAGTCATTTTATTAAGGTGGAAGTTGCCTTCATAATATAATCCAAACTGGGTAACTACCACACCATTCCCTTGACATACATCATCTTGCCACATTCCCATGTATTTTTCTCCCCTGAAAAAGAAATAAGAAGAAAAGAAAAATGAAAAGAGAAGCCAATGACAAGAAGGACATAGTGGGGGAAATGGTTATTGCATGGAGATTCCAGTGTCACCCCTAGGCTGGTGTCTGATCCACTTTTGTGGTTAAGTGGTTAACACTGTTTTCTCACAAACAGGATCATATGACAGCAGAAGATATCTTACTGAGAAATGTACTCACAGGAATTTAATACTGTGATCTACCTGACACAGATTTGCATATACTTTATATTCTTTCTCAATAACTTTAAAATACATAATTTGCTGGGCACCCTTGGCTCACGCCTGCAATCCTAACTACTTGGAAGGCTGAGATCGGAAGGACCACAGCCTGAGGCCAGCTTGGGTGAACAGTTTACAAGACCCCATCTACAAAATATCCATAGCAAAATGGATGGGAGGTGTGGCTCAGACAGCAGAGTGCCTACTTTGAGAGTGTGAAGCTTTGAGTTCAAACCCCAGTCCTGCAAACAAAAATAAGTAATAATAATAAAGTATGTAATTTTTAAAAAGAATGCCAAGAAAACAAAATGTAAAGGCATAATCGAACTTTCGAACAAATTTTTCTTACCCAAAAGTTTGATTAGTTTAAAAAAACAAGCAAAAAAACAGAAAGAAACGTGGTTTGTCATAAAAGGTTCAATTTTCATACACTCAAACATTAAGAAATCTTACTAGTCTCCATTAAAAAGATAAAATAAATATAAACTGCTTATTAATCATATTTAATTTATTAATGACAGTAATTTTTAAATCCCACAGACAGAAGCTGTGATATTAAATAACATGGAGGGAGAGAATATATATGAAGTACAAAGCAAATTAGGCCAAATCGAATATAGTGGAAAAGAACTATTCTTCTCCCCAAGGCTTAGTTAACTGAATTTGACTAGGATTGATTTCTGGAATGCAGACATGAATACAAGTCCCTAACCTGACAGGAAGACCTAAATATAAAGGCATTTAGATAACCATTCTATACAAATCCTCAAAGGGAATATCCACTGGTAACCCCCTAGCTTTGTATTCCTATTTTCTACTGACTGCATGAAAGTATTTTTTTTAGTTTAGGTTTCTTCAAGACAGTGAAGAAGCTTTAGGGAAAACAGTACAAATGTAAATTCTGAATGATCCTGATTTTGTAAAGAAGTAATCTATTGGAGCTGAGGATATAGTACAGTTGTGGACAGTTTCCTGAGCATTGCCAAGGATCTGGGTTCAAGTCACAACACCACAAAAAAAGAAGTAATCTATTGTTTGACTCACAAGAACATGATACCTGAAAACTCTGGTGCCTTATGAAAAGTTTTCTTAATGACACACATCTATAATCCCAGCACTAGGGAAGCTAAAATGGGATTGAGAAGTTCAAGGCCAGACTTAGCTATATAGCAAGATGGTATCTCAAAAAAAAAAAAAGCTCAACCTTCATAAAATTATCAAGTATAAGAAGTTTATCTTCTTCACACTGTACTTTGAGATTAGAAGCAGAATACCATACCTAGTGATATCATCAAAGACACCATATCCTGCTTTCTTATCCATTACCCACTGGCCAATAAACATGCTGGGAGAAGAAGAAGTCAATTTTCCACTTCGGAGGAGACCATGACCATGACGCATGTTATCTTGAAAACAGCCTTCAAACACTTCACCAGAGGCATAACTGTGGTTGGAAAGGATGAAGATCATATACACATTACAAAGTCTAGAAAATCCAAAACTATATAAGCTTATACAATATGTATAAGCTATATAGCTTATATAATATGTACAATTTAGATAAGAACCAAATTTAATAGCAATATTTTCATCTTGTGATAGATGAGGGTTGCTCTTTAAAGGAAGACTTTACAGAGTTTCAGTGATGAAAAGAACATAAAAAATTTACTCCTTATAAATTCTGGCTACACAAACCTTAATTTACATGGTTCTTTGGAAAGCAATACCAGTCCAGTGGCCTTTGCGATGTTATTACCTGTAGACTCCTTGGCCACACATTTTTCCTTCTTTCCAGTGGCCAGCATAATGGTCTTCTTTGTTTAGAGCTTTGTTTGGAATTCTGTATTCTCCATACCTGCCAATGACAATAAAAAACCATCAGAAGATGCACTTATGACATAGTCACCTTCTATATGTATCTATCAGTAAACATTTTAACAAAGAGGACAGAGAATAGGAGGAAAGGAGTGAACAGCTTCTTGGTAAGCTGTACCTATTACCTAAGTGTTTGGCAAGTCTCAGAGAAGTTGGACATCAAGCCTATTACACTGAGAGATTGGATATTTTATTCTATGGCCAATGAAAAGCAGATTTATGTCCTATCTCTATCACTAATTAGTGATACCACTTTAGGTAAGTCCAGGAATACAACTTCATTATCTGTATAACAACAAGCATAAAGTAGATTATCTAAAGTCTCTTTTCATTCCAAAAATCTATTTTAAGAGATTAAAGACATCACAAAATTTTACACTATAACACTTGCACATATTCACTGTCATAAATTTATCATGTAAATATATATACAGTGTTAGAAAATATGACAAACTTACACAAAAAATGTTATTTTAGTATCATTAGGATAATATATTACTTGGAAGATTTCTCCTTTAACAAACATGTCAGAGAAACTAAAGATGATATAAAACTACTAAAAGGAAAATTTCTCTATCTCCTTTGTGTAAAAGGAGCCCTGCAGTCTCAACAGTCTATCAATATTATCCAATGTCCTCAGTCTTCATAGCTGAGAAATTGGTAGAAAGATAATCAGTTCCACTTTAATAGATGTAACTGCGGTCATATGGTCACACAGCCATGAAGGTAAATGACTCAGTCTAAGTAAATCCATGGCTAGACCCTTGATTCCTAGCTTTCTTCATACTCACACATATGTGCTATGAGTTCTGTAAATTGTAAGTATGTCTAAAAAGCAAAAGAAAAATCTACTGCTTGTTTGTAAAGCAGCTCTGAACATAAAATAATTTGTGACCAAACTTGAATTCATCCTTGCATTTTAAACAATTTCTTACCCATCTTCCAAGCCATTCCTGAACATGCCAGAATACATCTTTCCATCAGGCCATTTCAAAACCCCTCTGGAAGGTATAAGCAAAAGAATTAATGCATGTTGCAGATAACCAATACTTTTTCTATAACGTGATTATCATCCTCCTCGGGATAAATCTTAAGAATTTTCACCTGCCATGAGGCTTCCCTGAAAGCCAGCGTCCATTGTAAGTGGCATCTTTCAGGCGTGGATCCTTGTAGAAAGTATATTTAGCACTGCGTGAAATGGGTGGTTCCTGCCTCTGAATACTGTTGCCACTTCCATAAGGTGGAAAATCAGATGTTCCCCTCAAAGCCTGATCCACAGCTTGGCTTATAGCCCGTAACCACTTAGTCTAGGAGCAAAAAGTAAATGCTAATAAGCTTAAGACAACAACTTACCAAGCACTACTTTAAATCCTGCTAGCTTTGCTTGATGTGAATAATTTTTCTATCTCCTAATGCTTTTCTCATTAAATGAGGAATACTAATTAATCAGCTCTTAGAATTTATTGCTATATGTTTAAAATTAAGTCATATTTTTAAAAAACCTACAATTTTGGTTTGATGAAGATTTATCTCAATTATGGATCATTAGTGAAGCAAGAACATTTTTTTTATTTCTTCTTTATTACCATAAGAAGCAGAAAGAGCCAGGCTAAAGACTGAAACAAAATAGCATAATGGACTAACCTTTTCCTGAGGTGTTGATGAAATGAGAGTGAACTGCTCTTCAGGTGTAGTTATCTTTAAGCCATTCCTAAAATGTTCACAAGGATAAATACCAGTAGGTATGACAACCTATTATTATAGTATCAATCCTCAAATATGAAAAGGTGCCTACTATTCACAATAGCCAAGTTATGGAAACAGCCAAGATGCCCCAGCACTGACGAATGGATTAAGAAAATGTGGTATCTATACACAATGGAATTTTATGCCACCATGAAGAAGAACGAAATGTTATCATTCGCTGGTAAATGGATGGAATTGGAGAACATCATTCTGAGTGAGGTTAGCCTGGCTCAAAAGACCAAAAATCGTATGTTCTCCCTCATATGTGGACATTAGATCAAGGGCAAACACAACAAGGGGATTGGACTATGAGCACATGATAAAAGCGAGAGCACACAAGGGAGGGGTGAGGATAGGTAAGACACCTAAAAAACTAGCTAGCATTTGTTGCCCTTAATGCAGAGAAACTAAAGTAGATACCTTAAAGCAACTGAGGCCAATAGGAAAAGGAGGGGAACAGGAACTAGAGAAAAGGTTAGATCAAAAAGAATTAACCTAGAAGGTAACACCCACGCACAGGAAATCAATGTGAGTCAATGCCCTGTATAGCTATCCTTATCTCAACCAGCAAAACCCCTTGTTCCTTCCTATTATTGCTTATACTCTCTCTACAACAAAATTAGAGATAAGGGCAAAATAGTTTCTGCTGGGTATTGAGGGGGGGAGCGGGAGGGGGTGGAGTGGGAGGTAAGGGAGGGGGTGGGGGCAGGGGGGAGAAATGAACCAAGCCTTGTATGCACATATGAATAATAAAAGAAAAATGGAAAAAAAATTCAAAACAATATACTTCATACTTTAAGAAGATAAAAAAAAAAAGAAAAGGTGCCTATTTATTTTAGCAGGAGCAGAAGTAAATTATATGCAAATATTCATGCCTAGATTTGGGTCCCACCTTGGGGAAAAGATACAGTTACTCTGATCTGTATTTACAATGGCTATGTAAGCAATGGAGATGCCCTTCTACCATCTATCGTGATTTTTTATGATCTTTACAACAGGACATTTTGTCATCAATGGCCATTTTACTATCTAATGTCTTGGGAGGGGACCTCATTATGCAGAATGGTGAGGCAGCTTCCCAAACCCTCCCTGAGCCTTTTTTTCACATTTAAGGAAACAATCTGAGTAATAGAGAAGGAGATCTAGAGGAGGTGCGGTAGAAAGAGGAGGTGGGGCAGGAAGAGGAGGCAGACTTACACATTACCGGCTTCTTCAGAAAGTGGCTCTGCCCATAGTGTGGCCAAAGGAAATATGTGATGCGTGGAGAACTGAAATAGAGAACATGGAGGCACATTTGTGAAAGCTCATGTTGACCTGGGGTCTTATCCTCTTCACATTATTAGCCACGTGAACCTTGCAGTGTTCTGCTGCACAACCCCCTTGAGATGGTTAAGTTCAGGTGGGTGCCATCATCTCTGCCACATAGTCCCCCAAAAATAGCTAATTCCAGGGGACCTCACCACTTCTGCTGCAAGGATCCCTACACATGACTGGCATTTATACTCAAGCTGGAAAACAGAAAAGCTCTCTGTTGGGGGTGTAGCTTAGTGGCAGAGCATGTGTTTAGTGTGTACAAGGCCCTGGGTTTGATCCCTGGTACCCCTCCAAAAAAAAAAATAATCTGTGAAATTCACCCCATGCCACACATGCAAAGGTGCAAATAATCTCTTTTATTCAACAGATGCAGAGAAATCAAAATAGTCTTTAACACAAATTGACAGCATACAGTCACATATCACATGATACAATTTTGGTCAATGATGGACTGCCTATATGATGGCAGTCCCATAAAATTACAATAAAGTTGAAAAATTCCTCTAAATAGTGATGTCACAGTACAGCACATTATTCATGTGTTTGCAGTGTTACTGGTGTAAACACACCTACTTACATTTTTTAGATAAACAAATACCATTGTGTTGCAACTGCCTACAATACTCAGTACAGTAACCTGGGTGCCTAGGAGCACAGGGTATATTACATGGCCTACCATCCAGGTTTGTAAGTATACTATGTGTTGATGTCCATACAATGAAATCACCTAACACCACATTTTTAGAATATATCCTTTCTTTTCATGTTAGGAATATAGACCTACCTGGGCATGAACCAGGACATCATTAAAGAGAATGAACCAATTCACAGAAAACCTGCCAGCATGCTGCAGAGAAAGGGCTCTGTTACTACTCTCACACAGCAGCCGACGCTCTGGCTTCCTCAAGGAATCCTAGAATTAAAAACAAATATTACAATGAACAATCAAAATTATTTTAACATGTAAAAGAAAACTAAACATACATATCACATTTAGGAGAATGTGTTGACCATATCTTAGTGTGGTGTTAAACCTAAATTTAGAAGAGATCCAATACTTCAGAAAATTGGAGCCCAAAGGAGATTAAAAAGACAGGAACAAACTACAGAAGGCAAGACTTGAGAGAGGATTCCTAGAAATAAGAAAGATGTTGATATTTAGATCCTTGGTTGGGAGACTGGTGGAGTGGCTGCACCTGCCTAGCAAGTGAGAGGTCCTGAGTTCAAACGCCAAAAAAAAAAATCCTTGCTAGAACTCTGGTTGCCACAGTCCTCAGACATTTTCAGACAGGGTCATTAAAACATTGTTATAAACAAGTGAGGAACAGAAAAAGTGACAGCAATTATTATGGAAATGCTTGCTGTTTTCTGGGGTACCAAAGAACAGTTGGAACAGTTTGGCATGGTTTACCGTCATTTTTCCAGGGAAGGTCTTCCAGAAGCCCAGTGTGTACTCTGCTTCCTTCCTTTTCCTGCCGAGATGGAGAGCAAGAGACTCATAACAAGAACCAGAATCCTGCAGTTTCTGGTATTCTGGAGATGTCTAGAGGCCAATAATTACGGAGGAGAAAAAAAAAAGTAAAACAGCTGCAAAATCTGCAGTCTCAGTGTGATTTTAGATATATGATTCAATTTAGGGAGAAAATTTAGCCTCAAGGAGGAGAAAGGAACAAACAATGACAGTTATCAGGAGGAGAGCAAGAAAGAACTCAAGGCAGGGCAGGGGGGAGTCTCAAATATTTTATTCTCAGAGTCTTTTATTTTGTAAATGTAGGGTATACCTATTGATATTACCATTTAAAATATTTGTTAATTTCTAATAAGATTTTAAACAACAAAAACTGTATTACTCAAAACAAAAAGAAGTTTCAGATCTGGGGATGGTGATTCAAGCCTGTAATCCTATCACTAGGGAGGCTAAAGCAGGAGGATCACAAACTCCAAGCCACCCTTAGCTACACAGTGAGACACCTCAAAAAACAAATCTCAAAAAGAATTTTAGTGAGAAAAGTGGCATTGGCTTATATTTTTTTCAAATCTCTTTATTATCTGCCTTAAAAAACAAGAGCTGGATTTTCCTATCTATTTCTACTTTTAATCTGTTATGATACATTGTTTGGTGGAAACAAAGGAAGAAAATGCGGCTTTATAAAAAACAGATAGTTGGAAAAGGAGGTATTTTAACAGTCACTTCAAATAATTGTGGACATTCACCTTTAATACATGGTAATACTTGTGAAGTGGTAGTTTTCTAAGGAGTTGCTGCAATTTTGAATCAGAAACCCCAGCCATGAACTTTTGTATTATGTTATATTAAAATCCACTGGTCAAGGGCTGGAGGAGTGTGGCTCCAGTGGTAGAGCACTTGCCTAGCAAGTGTGAGGCTCTGAGATCAATCTCTAGTACAGCCAAAAATCAAACAAAAAAACAAAAACAAGAGTAAAATCCACTTGTCTATTTCGCACTAAGATCTTTAACCATGCATGATTTTGTAACATTGTAAACTGTGCATTTAGAAAATATTAACTGAGCTACACAGATCTTCCAGATGTTTACACATTTTTATATACCAAAAACCATTGATATTCTACCTCATTAGAAAAAATCCTAACTACTGGGAAACTGTTAGAATCAAAGTGGCAGATACATGTCTACATCATTCTAATTTTTGCTTTTAAAATTTCAGATTTTAGGGGCCAGGCACAGTAGCTCATGTCTGTAATCCCAGCTACTCCAGACACAGAGATTGGGAGGATCACTGTTTAAGGCCAGTCTGGGCAAAAAGTGAGACCCCTTCTCAACCAACAAGCTGGGAGTGTGGGTGACTGTGATCCCAGATGCATGAGAAGCATAGGTATAAGGGTCTCAATCTAGGCCACCCCAAACAAAAATATGAGAGGGCTTATCCAAAAAATGACTAATGCAAAAAGGGCTGGGGGTGTGACTCAAGTTATACAGCACTTGCCTAGCAAGTGCAAGGCCCTGAGTTCAAACCCTAGTACTACCAAAAAAAAAAAAAAAGCATCAATTCTCTTATCTGTTAAAGGGGAATAGTAGTAATAACCAATTCCACAGGGCTGATATGGAGATTAAATGAATACAGAGTTATGTTTAGAACAGTAACTGGAACATGAAATGTATTAAATAAATGTTAAGTATTATTAGTATTTCATATGGAGAAGTTTAAAAAATACACACACACACATATACAAATACAGACAAATACATGATCCCTTAAACTCACTAAATTTCAACTTACAGTGATGGGTAATAGTACATAAGCGTGTGGTTAGAAAAAAACTTCCACAGACGATGTTGTAACAAGGATGTGGAGGACCACTGATAAACCATAAGAGAACAATGAAGAAATAAAGTGCCAGCAAAGCACAGAGAAAAGAGTAACACATTCTTAAGCAATGGGAAGAGGGAGGAGAAGAGTATTGTCTGAGCAGCATAGCTTGGACTGGATCAAGGCATGAAGGTTTCCAAAAAGGAAGACAGGGTTAGGTATTTCAGGAAGGTATAAAGCACATGAGAGCTACGTTCAGAGAATGTGAACTAACATGCGGGACATGGGAGAAGATAAAACAAGAAATAAAAAAAAATTAGAAATGAGGAAGCATATTATGTAGGGTTTTGAATGTCAAACTAAACAGACTTGATTTTTATAAAGAATTAGGCTCTTCAGACTGTAAAAAATATAGTATCAGACTTCCTGCACTTTTTTTTTTTTGAGACATGGCCTTATACGTAGCTGACTACTTCAGCCTCTCACGTGCTGAGAGTATAGCCAGGTGCCACCAGGCTGAACTCTCTCTGAAAAATTCTAGTCAAAGTGGCAGTTGAAGATTTTTTTTATAGAGGCCTATTCCCAAGGTTGAAAATCTGTATTTCACTGGACTATCAGCTCAAACATGCACAGCTAAAACTAGATCAGTTTCAGTTAAAATTCAAACCAAACTAAAGACCTACAAGATCACAGGAGAGTTAAGTGGAGAAAGCCCACGTGAGTTCCTGGGTCACTCTACCAAGTGAAATCTGCCTATATCAGGAGATAAGTTTTATGATTTCTGTGCAGCCTCCAGAGGAGAAACAAAATGAAAATCACACAATTCAGACAATTTCAAAGTGTGCATGTCTCAGCACCAGCTTTAACATACACCAATATCCTTAAGCGGTGTCAATTTCCTAGGACTCCATTTAATTGTATACAGAAAGTGGACTAGGTGGCATTTGAGAAAATCCACTAACATTAATTTCTCATAGCATTTGCCAAGATGACC